ACATACGCCCTTCTACACATACACATTTTGACACATACGCCCTTCTATACATACACATTTTGACACATACGCCCTTCTACACATACACATTTTGACACATACGCCCTTCTATACATACACATTTTGACACATACGCCCTTCTACACATACACATTTTGACACATACGCCCTTCTACACATACACATATCAACACCTGGTAAAGGACGTGGATATTTGGATAACATCAACAAATCAAAAAATGCATCACAAAACTTGTAGAGGAATAAAAGACCAAAAAATCACCCAGTAAATGTTACAAAAAAACATACCAATAACCATCAGTAAATAAGTCAACCCTGTACCGCACAGAAATGTAACAGCAATAAATAAATACATGAGCAAGTGACCTTGAACTGACCTTGGAACATCCTAAAGGTCAAAGCGACAATGTGTCTAACAGCCAATAGGTTGTCATCTAAGGGCAACAACTCCGTGCCCCGTCAACTGTCACATGACCTCATAGACACTACACAACCGAACGTTGTTTCCCCTTGTTCCCAGAATATTGACCGTTGACAAACAACAGGTGATAACTTGGTGCACCTGTCTCAATCATCTAAGTAAGTGGTGCACCTGTCTCAATCATTTAAGTGAGTGGTACACCTGTCTCATTCATCTAAGTAAGTAGTGCACCTGTCTCAATCATCTAAGTAGTGCACCTGTCTCAATCATCTAAGTAGTGCACCTGTCTCAATCATCTAAGTAGTGCACCTGTCTCAATCATCTAAGTAGTGTACCTGTCTCAATTATCTAAGTAAGTGGTGCACCTGTCTCAATCATCTAAGTAAGTGGTACACCTGTCTCATTCATCTAAGTAAGTAGTGCACCTGTCTCAATCATCTAAGTAGTGCACCTGTCTCAATCATCTAAGTAGTGCACCTGTCTCAATCATCTAAGTAGTGTACCTGTCTCAATTATCTAAGTAAGTGGTGCACCTGTCTCAATCATCTAAGTAAGTGGTACACCTGTCTCATTCATCTAAGTAAGTAGTGCACCTGTCTCATTCATCTAAGTAGTGCACCTGTCTCAATCATCTAAGTGAGTGGTGCACCTGTCTCAATCATCTAAGTAAGTAGTGCACCTGTCTCAATCATCTAAGTGAGTGTTGCACCTGTCTCAATCATCTAAGTGAGTGGTGGACCTGTCTCAATCATCTAAGTAAGTAGTGCACCTGTCTCATTCATCTAAGTAGTGCACCTGTCTCAATCATCTAAGTAAGTAGTGCACCTGTCTCAATCATCTAAGTAAGTAGTGCACCTGTCTCAATC